AGAGCGGTTTCGATTCTACGTTCTTGGCTCTTCGAACACTTCCTTCACCCGTAAGTGATGTCTCCCTTTCGCCGTTTTCGAATGGTTTAGTAGCGTTTCACCTGAATATTTCGTCACATCAAGAATTGAAAAAACTGATCTTGAATAGCTATAATCGTGATTTTGAATGTTTTCTTCATCATACATTTTGAGATTTCCAAATGATTTGTATAAATGACTGTGATTCTTGATTTGGCTGTGGCTGTATTGGGTTTTTGTGCAGATATCCGAGGGATTTGGATAAGCAGTTGCTTGCCAAACAGACAGGGCTTACTAGGAGTCAGGTAATAAATTTCTATCGATATGTTTTTTTTTTCCTGTTACGTTTATTAAATAACAAAATGGAATTTCTAAGCTTTCGTTATGTGTGAATTTCACCGATATTATTCGAGAAATGACCATAAAACAAGAATTTCGGATTTTAGTTTCAATCTTACTATTGTTTTTCGATTTATGATGGACCGTCTAACACACTCTTTTTAACAAAATGTTTACATGCTGAAGGTGGTAAACGACTTAAGTTTACCATTAAGTTGTTTTATGTGATTATTTTAAATAATTCCAAATTAAATAAGTATGATGCATTCACATATATATATTATGATTGATTATTTATAACAAATGAAATTAACATACTACGCAAACAGATTACATTAATGCGACAAGGCCCTTTGATTGGACCGCAAATCTAATAACTGACGCATGATAGAACGTAATTATGCAAGGCTCAAATTTACTTTCAACGTCTCAATCGTTGGAAAAGTCTAAGAAAGATATGAATTTTCTTTCCGTAGGTTGCTCATTTGTTGTCGTGATCATCTAACTTAAAGTCTTAAACCCTTGTTCAATAAATACTTATACATATATTTGTATGTGTATATATATACACATATATGTAGGTCTCAAATTGGTTCATAAATGCTCGAGTTCGGCTGTGGAAGCCAATGGTAGAGGAAATGTATTTGGAAGAAATGAAGGGTCAAGAGATTACAAAAGACGACAACCTCAGCGAAGAAGAAGATGATGAGCTCGAAAGATCGAGACAACAACCTCCGAGCAACGTTCAGCTTGACATACTACCCGACAGACCGAATCTCTTCGACAACAACAACAATGTTTCAGATCAATGTTCGAGCTCGATGGTATCTACTAACTGTCTGGCTGCAGATTCTCGTCAAGGAATCTTTAGTCTCCATAAGAAGAGGAATCAACAATCGGATCATGAAGTGGTTGAAGCTAGTAACTTGATATGTTTCAATAATGGAGGATTCGAGAACCCTTATTATCACCAGGCGAAGGTGATGAACGGAAATGGCGTCTCACTTTCTCTCGGCCTTCCTCATTCTCGTGACCAAACTTTCAGCAACGTTCAGTTCGGGACGGGCCATCAGATCGAATTCTCGGGTATTTCCCGGCCGCCTTCGACATATCGAAACATCGATGATAGCAAGACGTTTGTCGCTAATGCCGCTGCCCCGTTATTGCCCGATTTCTTCGCTTGATCGAAACGATTATATATATATATATATATTTGTGTGATTGGGGTTTGCGTTGGTTCTCTATCTTGTTTTGGTGGTTTCCATGGATACGGAAGGTGAAAAATACGCAGGGAAAAGAGATAGGGTTTGATTGTTACTAAGGGTTTGATGTATAGGAGAGCTCTGAGATATATGTATGTACACGTAGGCAGGGGAGATTTGGGCATTGAAATTAGGGTTTATAGTGTGTGTGTGTGTACATATATATGCTCAAATATTTGATATATTCATATATCAATATATACATAGAAATGTATGAATGTGTGTGTGAGATTTCCTTGTATATTCGGATTTCAAGAACTTCCTGAATCCTATGCATTTGAAGGTTGTGGGACCCATTATCGTGTCTGTGGACGGTGCCAAAACCCAAAAATATTCTTTTATTTTATTTTATTTATTAAATAAAGTCATTTAACGAGCCAATAAATTTGACGATCCAAATTCTCTAACGTCCCAGTGATACTATTTATCAACGAGCATATTACCTTTACACATATTTTGGAAGAAATTAAAAGTGTAATGCATTAATATGTACGATCATATAATGTATTAATATGGAATACAGTTCGTTTTCTATTGCACCAAATGAAAAAATATATACATATAAAGTGTATAGTATGAACGTATTATCTTTCAATAGTTATAAACATATTTTAAAGAAAAAAAAGCGTAATTTATTGATAAATAAATCTTATAATGCGTCCATGAAAAATAAGAATTCATAAATAGGGTACTGGAATGATTCATTGATTTTTCCCGGGTCCTGTCTTCAGAAGATTGGGCCGGGTTTCAAATTAAGATTTAGTCATTAAACGGAATGGGCCGGGCTTTATTTTCCAACTGGTTCGTTAATTATTTACCTTAAATAACCTACATAAGCTGATTATTTAATTATTTAACCATTATATCATTTTCTAAAGAAAAACCAACTGATAAACGTCTACTAAAGAAGCATTTTAAAATCAAAAGAAGAATCTAAAGTTTGTCTTGGAAATTTAAAATTTTCATGAGTCGAAAGATTTATTTGAATCTTCTTGGTGGGTCTCGCATAATTTTCTTGAAGTAAGAAAACCGATATAAACAACCTATATATATATATATATGTATGGATGTGTATATATAATGTCACACATTATACCATGCCATCTCGAACATGGCAAAGAACAGAGAGCTAAGAGATGTAGAGAACCCAGATGGAGATGAGCAAGAACACGCGCATGTACAGAGAAAGAGAGAGAGAGAATTATGGTTTAGGAGAGGTAACTCAAAAGAGGAAGAGGGGAAGAGATGGAGATGGGAGAAACGGTAGAAGGAGAAGAAGAGAGACGACGGTGGAGGTGCGGTTACCCTTGAACCGAATCGAGGCAGCAGAGCCGCGAAGAGTCGGCGATGGACCGAAAGGCGAAACGATAGAGACGATAACGAACTCGACGACGACAAAAACGAAGAAGAAGAAGTACCTAATAATCTTCGGCTAAGGCGTCGGAGCTGTTGTACAGAGAAAATCATGAAAATTCCGCAAGTTCCTCTTTTGATTCTTCATTCAAATCGAGAAGTTGTCTCGGAGGCTAGTTCCACACCATCTTATTTGGTCTGTTGCGGAAG